TGTGGGCTCTGTCACTCCTTACTGATGAAATGAAGTATTGAAACAAGAGCAATTGGAAAAGGAGAGGGGGCTCAGACGCTTGTAGTCTCCTGGCGTGGAATACATCAGTTCAAATCTAATTCAGGTGGCTGAAACAGCTGAACTAGGGTTTCCTTAAGCAAGTACTTTACTCAAAGGCTGCTTCTGAAAAAGGATCCAGTGAGTCTCCGAATTGCAGGGAAGAGTGTCACAACTGCAAATCCCAAAAGAAGCGAGCCTCTTCTCAGCAGCCTAGACTTAGTGCTTCATTCACAGACCTCAAGCTAGACTGAGAAGAAAGTCTTTCTCCTAGATGGCTTGATCAATCCCCAGGTTGGTGCGCTACCCAATGCAGCTCCCACCTGAGATGCCAAGCTTCCACCCATGCTTTCTGCTGTGCGTGAGAGTCTAAAACTGTGAATGCTGTGTGGTTCCCCCTGCCCTTTTAGTAGGCCTGGTCCAGACACACAACAAAAAGGTTTCATCAGCACAATGCTGTGTACTGAAGTTATTGCACCTGATAAATTTAAGCGAGTTCAATTCTCCGTTGCATACACAGGTCACAGACCACACTACTTCAAAGCCTCTATTCTTTTCTCATATGGTATCCAGGCCAAAACATGTCAAATTTTAGTGCACTTTTACAATTAATGCTTTCTGTCTGAACTTAGTTGGAAGTGTTTGGGACAGCAGTTTCTGGATCTGATTGGATTTTTGCCATTTGCAAAGCACTAGCTCTAAGAGTAGGAGGGTACCATATATGACTTTTCATTCTTCCTGTTCTACTTCACATGTGCAAACTGACATCTCGCAGGAAATGAACTGTTCCTGGCATCCCTTGGGTACTTGCCTACAAGACACATCCAGTACAAGCAGAGCTGAAAGGAAGACTCTGAGAGGGATGTGTCTCACTGAATGAGAATTTTTACAATGCAGGAGAGAGCATCTGAGCATGTCACCTTGGGCCCTCCTTATGGTCAGTGGAGAAATAACTGATGTAGTCAGGGGGATACACAGAGCAACTCTTCTCAACCTGACGTATGCACCTATGTGTAGTTGGATAAATAACACCCCAAAGCCCACTGGCTATGGTGGGAGCACAACCAACTAGCTCAGAAGCAGACATCTGAATTTAAACGAGATGAACCCCTTGGGCTGCCCTTAAAACTTTTCAAGCCATTAAAACTAGACTTGGCCTTTTTAAACCCAAACGCTGCGATCTGACATTTGTTTATACATTAATGACATTCGTGTAATCAACGGAGTTCACTCTCACTAGCGTTACCTGGTAAGCATGGTCCGTGTGTACGAGGTAGAGGTTGGTAGGAGCTGAGCGGCTCAGAGGTGTCATCAATTTAGTCTCAGTTTTGGCACAGGAAGTTTCCGGACGGATTGCATCTTGGGCGGGAAAGGAAGGAGAAGATGCTAAAGATGGAGAGACTGGGGAAAGACTGCTTAATCCATCAGCTACTGAGTCCGTGTTGAGCCTGATTTCTGTATAGTAAAAATCTTCCTCTCCATCACTGTAGTCAGACTCTCCTATACGTCTGTATCAAGACAAAGAATGAAGGACTGATTTAATGAAACCAAGAACACCAAGGTAAATTTTAAGTTCTAGATGCATGAGCAAATACATTCATACTGTCAATAAATTAATATTCCCAGTTTCAACCCTACCTACTTTATCAGCATTCTGGCTGCAGGGAAGGGGAGCGGAAAAGAAAATAATCTAGTCTAAAGGGAAAAGAAGCAGGAATTAGATTTTTTTTCCTCTGTGTGTTATTCTTGCCTAATTCTTTGACCTTGGAGTAGATGTTTAACTTCTATGCTTCAGCTTAAATATCAGCTTCTCACTCCTAACTGTTGAAGCTAACAAGCATCTCAATGCACTTTGACTTCAGAAATGACAGAGCAGCCACAGAAGGACAGGTAAAGATAACAAACAAGGGCAAGATATAGTTCACTAATGTAACAGCAAACGACATGTAATCTTATCATAGGTTACTTAATTAAACCAAATATAGTTATGGCCACGGTTCACTGTAACTTTCCTTGGCATAACCGAAGAAGCTGCTAGAAAACAGTCTCACCGTGCAACTCACCCAGACACAGGTAGAGAAAGGACACATAAAGGCTGGCTTGCTAGTGCTGGACTTTCTGGTCCTACTCCCTAGATGCAGACTTACTGAAGGAGAAGATGTAAAAGGCTTAAGTTCCCCTGCATGTCCTGGCACTATCTGCTGCGTGTTTGAGCACAAGTGCTGGGAGCCAAGCAGCCCAGTCAAAGTAGTCACTCCCAGTAGGCTACGTGTTATCTTGAAGTCCCAAACAAACCACTGGTTTAGCACATTCACAATCCACATGCTGTACAGATGTAACTCACAGCTCATACATGTGTATTTTCTCCTGAATCTTCCATACGGGAAATCCGAGAGCCCTAAGCATCCTCCTGCCTGCATCATCAGGGGCATCCTTTTCCAGGCATGCACCCCAAAACCGAGCCCCTAGCCAGTTCCTCAGCCTGCTTTTCTGTATACCTCTACCTGTGGTTCTCTCGCTACCTTATTCAATAGAACTTGTTGAGAGAGCATGGGTTCAG